AATTATAGTTTATTCTTGAATTTAGACCAGTTTGCCAAATCAGTACACCCCAGTTTCAGAAAGATTTATTAACTATACTTATTCTCAAAATCTGCACTGGTCTAACTTACTCCCCAATTACTTTTTCAAGATTTTTCACATTGTTAAGCCTGCACACAGAAACCCACTCTACAGGATCTTTTACCTATATTATTTCAATCATTTACTGGTGTTAAATTAGGAACGAATAACACATTAGAAAGAATATTGTTTCGCTTGTGCTCAGAAGGTTAAAACATTACTGTAATGATAATGTGTATAAATTCCAAGTTTTAGTCAAACAGCTCATAGAATGCACTGCTGTTTAATTAGTATTTCCAAGAATCTTTAACAAGAATATACTACCAAAAATAAGCACCTACAAAAGAAATAGGAACAAAAATAGTTGCATAACTCAAAAAAAAAGATGAACAATGGCTCCCCCCTTATCAAGTACATAAATAATCCAGGCTCCTCAAAGAGGGTAAAATGTGCTTCCAGAATGAATGCAGAATCCAAAATGTATTTTAATAAGGTATTTGCTTAATGTTCACAGAATGAAAGGATAGTAGTGATCATTTGTATTTCTGTAGAAAGTAAAAAAAAATTTCATGAAAATATCAACCAAATATGCTTTACTGACCCAGGAACGGTCAGAGTCCAATGTTGAGTCTAGAGCCTATTCCACCTTGAAAATGTGTTTAACTAACAACCACAAAAGAAACACCTTAGCTGCCATCACAAATTAGAAACATATGACACCACATTCTGAGTGACCTAGAGAGAAAGAACTTCTCAAGGACACTTCAGCTGCCCAGACAGAACCCGGGATAAAAGCTTCTTGGGGGCAATGACCAAAGTCCCCCTTAGTCACCAGGAATAAGCACACCCTAACAATTTCTGCTCCAAAGAGCGACCAAGGTAAACCATTTTTGGATGATTTTTCCAGCATCCAGCGGCTCAGGGCTCCATTTACAGTTGGATAGTGGGAAAATTGAAGACCAAGGTCAAAGACACCTAAGGACTGAGCATTATGCGCTACCTTCAGTTAAAACAACTTGCCCTGGCCACGGAGAAGGCGCTCCGTAGCCGGAGCCAGGTTCCGGGCACCCACACCCTCGGAACAGAGCCGGCGCTGGGTCTCACCACCCGCTGTCGGTCCCTAGTTAAGCAAATCAGAGAAAGAGTGCCAAAATGAGACCAAACTTTCTGCTCAAAATGTCTTTCTTTTGGCCAGAACTCGGGCAACTCTCCCAAGAATGAGAAAGTATTCAAAATAGGACCCGAATTGGAGAAATCCCGATTGTCACAGCGGATCCAACCAGGTCGCCCACGTTCCTCCACGTACGAAGGTGCAAGGGGAACACGTCTAGATCTTAAATTCAGTGTGCCTGACCAGAGTTCCTGTCCTGTCCAACTTGTGTCCACAACCACAAACTTCCCAAAGCGACCAAGACACCGGGCGGGACACGAACACCGAGTGCCCACGGTACGAGAGGATAGAGTTGGAGCTCGAAGTAGAGGCAGGGAGGCTGGACCCTGGGACTTCGGGACCCGGGGCTTTAGCAGAGGGACAGAACCAAGCCTGAAGCAGAGGCTGGAACGACTGGATCCCAGGACTTCGAAACCCGGGGCTCAAGCAGAGGGGCAGGAACGGACGGGACCCGAAGCAGGTACTGGGGTGGCTGGACCCGAAGAATAGCCTGGATTCTAGGGAAGGGCCGGGGACCAAGGGAAGGCTGGGATGGCTGGACCCCAGGACTTCGGACCCGGGCTCTCGCAGAAGGATGGGGACCGAGCCAGTGACTGCGCGCGCGGACCCGGGACCGCTGGGTCCGGGCTCCCGCCCAGCACTCCTGCTCCCCAAGAGGCGCTTGGGTCCCTGCCGCCTCCTACCTGTCTGAGGATGAAGCTGGTCGAAGTGGTGCTGCCATCGGATCTTTTCAACCTGCTCCTCCGGGTCGTGGTGCCTCGGGCCACCTGGACTCGACACACGGGGGCCAGAGAGAAGCCTGTGAGGACCGGAGCCAGGAGGGCGAACAGCCGCGGCTAGAGTCCTCCTGGGGACCAGAGCCCCGGGGACCCCGGTGCCCGCACCCTAGTGTCCCCCGCGCCTCCCGAGTGCGCCCCCACTCCACCCCCTCACTCGGAGCCCGGCAGGCTGCCAGTTGCCGGAGGAGGGTGGCCCCGGGCACCCACCACATCCATTCACAAAGCCTCGTAGGTGCGGGGTCCGGGTCCCCGGCATCGGCGAAGGGATGCTTCGGACTCTCGAGCCCGAGCCCCGAAGCGAGAGCGGAGGAGGGAGGAGGAGGAGGAGGAGGAGAGGAGGAGGGGGAGGAGAGGGCGGCGCGGCGCGGAGGAGGGGAGCGGCCGCGGCTGGGACCTGCGCTCCGCACTCGCGGGCACATAGGCGGGGCGCCGGGCGGGGGTGGAGGAGGGGGCGGTACCTGCGAGGTGGGGGAGTGCGGCCCGTCAGCCGCCCCGTTCTTGGCGTAGGAGGACATGGCTCAGAGCCGCCGCATGTCCGCGCGGCGCGATGGGCGGAGGGCGCGGGGCGCGGGCCCCAGGCCGGGCAGAGAACGGAGGGAGGCGACCGGACCTCTCACCCCGCGCCTGCTCCCGGGCCGCCTGCCGGCACTTCGGGGAGCGCCGCACCTTAAAGGGGCAGAGGCGCTTCCCCAGCGCCTTTGGCGGGGTCCGGGCGAGGGGCTTCTAGGATCTCGCCTCCTGGAGCCGTGGGGAAGAAGTGTTCTCCCACCTAGAGAGCGCTCTACATCAGCGTTTTCCAGAGGATGGAGGGAGGAGAAAATCTGGGATGGGGGTGGGAGGATTAAAATAGTCTGCACAGTTTAAAATGAGACAAAGGTGGCACGGTTCATGAATCAGGACTTGGGGAGGGAAGCTGGTGCAGTGTGGCGGGGAGTGGGAAGAGCGGAGCGTTAGCGCGCGGCTGTGTGTGTGTGTGTGTGTGTGTCCCTGCACTAGAATTTTAAAAGGACAAGAACTGAACCCTCCTTCAGAGACTTCACTCATCAACCTCCAGTGGTAAGGCACCGGGTTCTGGGGCTTGCTTTTAATCGTGTTTTTGCATTGTTTGGGCAACTCTACCCTCGGAGCCGCGAGTCCCACATACCCAGGCAGACGTGGGAGAGAGCCTGCCAGCCGGAGTCTGACAGAAGATGCAGCCCCACGAGAGACCAGTGTGTCCTAGGGAGTTTTGAAGGTCATATCAGACCTGCTAAAAAACAGCAGCTGGCCACGTGCCTCCCGTTTGCATGAGGATAGCCAGTTTCCCAGAGCTGAAACTAATCCAGAAGCCGTACACAACCTTTGCATTCCAAACCCAGCTTTCCTCTGCAAATGCATGTATTTGAGATCAAATTTAAAGTAAGGAGGTAGCGGAAGGAAGGAATTTCAAGTAATTAGAAGAGAAGAAAAATACGTGAATTGAAAAAAATAGATTTTAAGTTACTCAAGAGAAATCCAGAATTAAACATAGCATTTAAAATCGCTAAATCAGTCCCCCTCACCGGGTATTTTAGTGTTTTTGTTTGCTGTTGTTGTTTTGTTGTAGTTGTTTTACTTATAGGAACAATTGCCACGTCTTGTTCTAACAATTGCGTGGCCTTATTGAAGTCCCAGTTATAGTTTATCACCAGTTGGACACGTTCCATTCCTACCTCTTCACTTAATCCAGACTTAATTTTAAGTCTTAACACTAGTCTCCTTGCCTCCAGGCTTTCCTTGCCAACAGCATGTATACAACACACACACACACGCATGCACACAAGCACATACACACACAGGTACACACTTCATTCCATCAACACACTACAAGCAAAACAATTTCCCTAAAATCCATTTGCCTGTTACTCTTTTAGAAAAAATTATTTACTTATTTTTATTTCATATGTATTTTTATTTAATGTGTATGTCTGAATGTAAGTGCACCCAGCATGCAATGTCCCAGGAAGCCAGTCATATCTCCTGGAACTGGAGATACTGACTGTTGTTAGCCTCTTTCTGAGTGCTGGGAACTGAAGCCAGGTCCTCTGCAAGAGCAGTTAGTGCTCTTAACCACTGAGCCATCTCTTCAGCCCCTAACTACTCTTCTCTAAGGTAAAGCCCAGATTTCATGGTTCAACAACTAGGCTTCTCTTTGTTTCCTTAGACATATCTTTACCCTAAAGCTCATCACATGCCACCTCATTTCCTCCAAATAGATTTCTCTATGCAAACCCAGCAAGCAGGCAGGTCTACTGACTGCTCTTACCCAACTCAGCACCAACGAGAAATCTTGGCCTTGGGGTGTCCTTAGCATCTACCCTCCACCCTACCTCCACCCCACCAAATGTGCTCAGCTCACTCTTCACAGAAATCCTCTCTGACCACTGTAGTCCTGGATAGTTCTTGTGTCCCTGAAAAAGTAGAGCATTTATTCTCTAGATATTTGGCACAAGCTGTCTTGGTTTATTAGTTCTTGTTACTGTGAAAATCTAATTTCCAAATTAGTTCTTTGGTGTCTATTACAATAGTTTATATGTAGTAGACGCCCCCAATGAAGTGTAAGGATACATCCAATAACAGATCTGCCTTAGTTAGAGCCAACCCAGTCCATTTTTAGTTCTGAACCATTTTCATAGTTGACAATCAATATACACAGACTAAATGATTATGTGGATTTGAATTTTCTGGTTTTCCACTGCCCACAGTTTTAGTGACTGAGTTACCCAAACAGAACCCATAGTGGCAAGACAGTATGAGGAGGTCTGTACATCTGTCTCACAGCAAAACTGGGGAAAATTATACGCACACACACACACACACACACACACACACACACTTAAATCTCTAGAAATTGTCCTAGTAGTTACACCACAATGGAAAATTACTTATGAAAATCTGCAAAAGCTCAGAAGAAAAAGTGTGAGAGTCTGCGATGTTGGCACCAAGACTTGCTCCCTTCCTCCTTGTGTCCTACTCAGAGAAGGAAACTCCACCCCACACAGGTGCAGTCAGGAACATGGGCTCTCTCTTCTCTAAGCTCCCAGTTGGAGGATTATTTTCCTGAGAGAGACACAATATCAATATTTATCTTCCTCTCCCAGTAATCTGTTGCTAGGAGTAAGTTCTGAATGTGCATGGGAAGGAAGCACAGGCTTCCTTCTTCTGACCAGCCCCACTCATGTCATGGATGCTCTACTTGGCCACAGCCCAGTAGAGAATACTGAATCCTGATGGAACTTGCTCCTGGCTCATGGAGAGGTAAGCTGGGAACCAGAGACTGCTGCATTTCTTTACCAAACTTCCACTTCTAAAATGCTCTTATCCAACTACCAGCCCACTTGGGCATCTTGGTTTTGGAGTATGTCCTTGACATCTGCCATCCACCCCACCTCTACCCCACCTAAAATGATAATATCACTCAGCGGTATACTACTGTCCCAACAACGAGAAAAATAGAGAATAAAATTGGATCCTTACCCCACACCACTATATAAAAGCTCAAAATGGATCAAAAAACTAAATAAAAGGGCTAGAATTTTTTTTAATTGAAAGAAAACAGAAGACTCAATCTCCATCTTGGACTTGGCAATAGACTCTTAGACATGACACCCAAAAGTACACACACAACAAACCATAGGCATATGGGACCTCATCAAAAGAAAAGCCTTTTGTGTTTACAAGGGTACAATCAAGACAGTGAAAAGATAACTTACAGAATAGGTCAAAATATTTTTTAGATGAGCAAAGGATCTGAATAGGTATTTCCCCTAAAAAGGCATATTTGTGGCCAAAAACTTTGTGAAAGGGCTCAATATTAATCATCAGGAAAGTGCAACTCAAAACCATAATGAGATACTACTGTGGTAATTTTAAGTCCCCTTTAAACCTCATGCTGAAATTTAACTGCCATCACACTATTAAGACACTGGACCTTTAAGCCATAAGGGTTCCACTCACAGATGGGACTGAAGCCATTATAAAGAGTTAGTTTGAGGGAAGAACACTGACTGCTCTTGCAGAGAACCCGGGTTCTATTCCCTGCATCCACATGATGGTTAACAACAATCTATGATTCCAGTTCCAGGGGATCCAACTCCCTCCTCTGACCTCTGAAGACACTGCACAACATGGGTGCACTCACATGCATGCAGGCAATGTACTCATACACATAAAATAAAAAAATAAAATATTTAAAAAGTTAGTTTGGCTCCCTTTTGTTGTATCTTGGTCCTTCTGCCTTCTACCATGTGATGATACAAATGTCCATCCTTAGATGCCAAAACTTTGACCTTGGACAATTCTGCCTCTAACACTATGTGAAAATAAATTATTGTTCATTATAAATCACGAAACCTCACGTGTTCTGTAATAATAGTACAAAGCAAAGTGACACCTTACACCAACTAGAATACCACAATTAAATGATCAGGTGATAAGAAGAGTTGGCAAAGATGTTGTGAAACTAGAACCATTATGTACTACTGAAGGAATGTAAAATAGTGCAACTGATTTGAAAACTTGTCTAGTAGTTTTGAAATGGTTAAATACAACGTTATTATGTGACACAGCAGTTCCATTCCTGGGTACACCCAAAAGACAAATAAATCATATCTCTACCCTAAAACTTGCATAACAATGCTTGTAACACCATTTCTATATAACCAAAAACAGAGAAAAAGTGGAAACAACCCAAATATCCATCAGCTGATGAATGGATAAAATGTGGTCTATCCATATGATGGAATACTATTATATTCATTCATAAAAAGGAATACAGAACTGACATATGCTATAAAATGGATGAACCTTGAAAAGGTTACACCAAGGGCTGGAGAGATGGCTCAGCGGTTAAGAGCACTGACTGCTCTTGCAGAGGACCCGGGTTTGAGTCCCAGCACCCACACTGTGGCTAACAACCATCTGTAACTCCAGTTCCAGGGGATCCGACACCTTTTCTGACCTCCTCGGGCACTGTACGAAATGGGTGCACTTACATACAGGCAATACACTCATACACATAAAATAAATTGAAAAATTACACCAAGAGAAAGAAGTCAGTTACAAAAGTCACAGATTATATGATCCCTTATCTCTGAAATGTCCAGAATAGGCAAATCTACAAACATAGAAAGTAGACTAGAGAATGCTTTGGATTGGAGAGGCTCTGGAAATATTGAGGTGATAGCTACAGGGTATAAGGCATTTTGGTGTGTGTGTGTGTGGTGTGTGGTGTGTGTGCATGTGGGTGGAGGCCAGAGGTCAATGTCAGGTGTCTTCCTCAATTGCTTTCCACTTTATTTACCCAGGTATCATCTCTCCCTGAACCCAGAGCTCACTGACTCAGCTAGTCCAGCTTGCCCTAGAGATCATGTCTCTGGGTCCTGAGCCCTGGGATTATAGAAAGGCCTCCACACCAGCCCAGGTTTTAGGTGGGTGCTAGGGATCCAAACTCAGGTCTTCATGCTTGCTTAGCAAGCTCTTTGTCCTCTGAGCCATCTCCACAGCTCTTAAGGGCTTCCCCCCCCAGGTGAAATAAACATTATAAAGATGAATGTAGTGATTATTGCACACATGTGCATGTATACTAACAATCATGAATTTTCTGGGCACAGTGGCACACTCAAGGCTGAGGCAAGAATGATCACTCGAGTTTATGAACCCAAGACCAGCCTAGGCAACACAGAAAGGCATTGTCTCAAAACAGAATTAAAAAACTATTGAGTTATATTCTTTAAATGGATAATTGCGAAGCATGTGAATT